ATATTGTATGCACAAAACTATTCTAACTTTTCATTATATTTTGGGTGTATTTTTTTTTAATGCCTACCATGGCTGCATAAAATGTACAGTAAGAGGAGAATTCTTCAAAACAGAGAGACATATGAGCTTCCCTCAACTTGACTGTCCAAAAAGAACAGATTCGGAATTTAGGAGGAAATTTCAGCCCTTTAGAAAAGTTGCCAATTGACATTATCAAGGACATTGTGGTTGCGGATTCATTGGATTTGTATTGAATTGGCCTCTAATCGCCGGAAATTCATAATCTTAGAAAATATTTTTAAGTATATTTATTTACTTATATATTTTCACTAATTAGTGGAAATATTTATATAGGTAAATAAAATTAAAATTAAAAATCTTTTCTAAGATTCATTACATCTTTTAGACCTTGGAGACATGAAAAAAAGTCTCACAATGTGGGTAAATGGAAGTAAAACTTTTAAAATATTATTAATATAATTTCTAGCTGGCTTCTTAGTTGCAATAACTGTCTTCCTAAAAAAATTCATCTTTCGGTAAGACAGATTGATTTTTTATCATTCTGGAAAGTGACAGAGTTCAGAACATTTCTACTTTTTCTAGGCCCTGTTATATTAGGAGACCATTTACCACGAGAAATATATAGGCATTACTAGCTGTACCCGGCATGCGTTGCAATGCCAAGCAAAAAAATATATATTTCATTTAAGTTTATTGCAGTGCTTTTGGATATACAATATTTTTTATTGTTCCGGTTTTTGTTGTTCCGGTTTTTGTTGTTTCGTTGTTAAAAAACGATCAACGAAGAGCTTCCGTCAAACCAGAGTTGCTTGCCAGTGAGTTCAGTGACGCATTTTAAGCACTCCAGAGCTGCTCTAGAGCGGCCCGGGCTGTTTATAGGCGTTCCAGTGTATCAGAGTTTCGCGCAAATTAACTTTTTTTTTTCGGGATAAAAAAGCCTATATCACTTCCCTCTATAGTCGAATTCGATTGACCGGATTAGATCGATCTGGTTTAATTCAATAAACCACACTGTATTCGATTGAGGTTGGATCAGTGCACTCTCATCAACAAAAAAATGATCTAGATCAGAAGAAGTTTACTTAAATTGAACCCAAATCGATCTAATCTAGGTCAATCGAATTCGGCTTATATGGAGATACGTAGTATTAAATTCAAGATCGGTTCAGCCGTTCGCGAATTCAAAAAATAATAAAGTTACTTCAGTTGAATGCGCAATCCTAAATAAATGAAATGTTGTTTCATGTTGTCAAAAAACAAAATTAGGTTATGTTGTTATGTAATGTGAATGAGTTTGTTAATAAATAAATTAATAATTAATTCAAAATTAATTTCTTTTTCCGAGATGCGTAACTTATCCACAAACCTTCCTTGGGATGGCCATATCATAACCTACTAAAGTTTCATCGTAATCGGATAAGTGGTGTAGGAGCGTATAAGGCACAAACAAATAAACAAACATTGATTTTTATATATACACAGTCGATTAAATGTGCAAACAAAAATAAGTTGGGTTATGTAGTGGTGAGAAGCAAAAAAAAAATAAAAATTTTCGGGGTGGATCACCCTTATCACTTAGGGGTATGAAAAATAGCTTAAAACCTATTCTCAGACCTACCGAATATACATATAAAATTTCATATAAATCGGTTAAGCCGTTTCGGAGGAGGAAGGTAACTAAAACTGTGACATGAGAATTTTATATATTAGATTTGCTTTTGTTTTTTGCTGTAACGTTATGTTCAACTGATTATTATTCTGACAAATTAGATCTTGCTGAAAAGTTGTTTAGGGATTACATTGAAGGCTTTATATCCATATACGGAATGGATTTTACTTCAAGAAATATTCATAACTTGAACCATGTAGTGGATGATGTTAAAAGATTTGGTTCCTTGCCATTGATAAGTTAATATTTTTTGAAAATATGCTAGGTTCCATCAAAAACCTTCTCCGAAGTGGTAATAGACCTTTAGCCCTAATAGCTAAACGATTATCTGAAATTTCAAAATCAAATAGTGAATTGAACTTTGAGTATCAGAAAAAATCATATCCACTACTTTCAGGTAAAGAAAGAGATTTTCCTGAAATATCTCCGGATTTTAAACATGTTGTGTTCAAAAGAATTAAACTTTCTGCGAACTTGACACTTACTTCAAACACAAAAAATAAATGGTTCTTGACAAAAGAGAATAAAATAGTTAAAATGCTAAGTGCCTATAGGCAAAAAAATCAAATCTACATATATGAATCAAGTATTCTTGGTAAATATGAAGATTTATTTGATTACCCTTTTAAATCTAGTTATTTGCATATATGTATATGTTCTACAAAATAATATTTCGGAATCTATGTCCTACATATCTGATGATATTAAACGCAAACAAATAGGTTTCAATTATAGAATTTTCAATACCTATTAAGAAGTACCAGTTGTTCTAGTGACTAAACGTATGTCGCTTCTTGAACACACAAATAAAATTAGGTTAGGAATTTCCGAGGGAATTTCCTATATGTACATAAAATTGACGTATTAGCGATCGACGTTCGTTTTTGTTGGTAATTTTTTGTTTCATCTGATTCATGATTGATAAATAAGAATGGGGTTATTCTAAATGGGTATAAAAAACACTATACAATCAGGAACAAATCTTTCTGCCATTGCTTTATAGTTTGAATTCCGGAATTTAAGTAGGTAGGTATATTAAGTATGTATTTATGTATTGGAATAACTCAATTATATATATCTAACAGGTCTTCAAAAAAAAACATATCAAAGATTGCTTCGATTAGAAAAACGTACGTTGCATTAGTGTTTCTTCATTGGTCAGGTTTTTTGGCATATCATTTTGACGCAAAATTCAATCACAAAATTAAGGAAAATATTGCTAAGACATACGTTTAAAAAATCATAGCGATCTGTGATTGCTTTTTTTTTGAGGACCCGTTATAGTCTGGGAGTTAACGACATATTTTATTGTAGCATTTCCGCAAGCTTCATTCTTTTTGTATGTGTTATGCGTGTAGTATATGATAGTAATATGGACGTCTGCCGGCGCACCAACACGACAGGGGGTTACAGGAGGGTTACAATTACAGCAAAAAATAAACGAAAAAAACTTATAGCCGCATAAGTGAAACTTATTGTACGTATTAGTAGAAACATAGAAAGCTCAGAAAATATGGTCTGCCACCTAAATTCCACAACAAAAGTCGTCTGCCACCCACAAAAGTAAGAAATTTGTAAAAAAAATTACACCCGCAAGGTTGAAATTTATTTTTCCTACGAGCGTGCGCAAAGTAGTACTTTTCCGCACGCATTTCGGTTCTCAAAGTTGCACTTTTCCGCACTCAGTGCGGATACAGGCCTTATCCGCACTGAGTGCCGAAAAGTAAAAATAATTGTCAAGCAACAATAAGTACACCTGTCGACTTTGACACATGATGACAAATTTTTCCTCTGTTCCTGTTCCAGCTAACATCTATACCTACAAACACCAAATTTAATTAACTTCAACACATTGTCAGATTTGTTTTCTATATATATGCATCTACAAACTTTCTCATCAAATTTATAGCATTTTCCATTTGTCGAAACAGGGCAAAAAAATGTATCCTTATCCTTACATGTTACATGCTTTTAGAAAAAGATGCGGATGCACTCAGTGCGGCACTGATGACAAATGGAAATCGCCATTAAACGCTTTAAGATGAAGAGCTCTGACGATGATTTTCTGTTATATTTTTTTTTTGTTATGTAATTTTTTGATAAATGCATAGGTTCCCTTCAAGTTAATTAAAAATAATTAAACAAATTATCGTTTTTTTTTTAAATTTTTGTTGTTACCTACCTGATATGAAGCTCGTAGGAAAAATTTTGTTCCTAACACGTGCGCAAAGTGTCTTTTCCGCACGCAAACACGTATCCGAACTCCGCTTCGCGTCGTTCGTATAACTGTGTTTGCGTGCGGAAAAGTAACACTTTGCGCACTTGTTAGGAAAATAACTATATTTTTACAGTGAGTTTGACAAGTGTCAAAAAGAGAAAATAAATATTCCAAGTGAAAATTTTCATTTCCATTTTGAGTGTACGCGATGAATCCTTCTATAATCTCTTTAAGAACTCTAGAATATAAGACTTGAGCTTTTCACAATTCATTTTGGTTAGCCTTACAAAAAAAAATAAAAAATAAATAGGAATAAGAGAAAAATGCAGCTTCCTAGCGGTGGTGCTCGGGCACTACATGCCGAACCGAACTTCATAGGCTTGGCAGACGCAGACGATCTTCGTTATATCTTATTCGTGGCAGACTATTATGTTTGTGTTAGTATCCATAAAAGAAGTATTTTAATGAATTTCAGCCTTGCGAGTATATTTTTTTTTAAATTTTTTTTTGCGCTTAGTTATGTGGGTGGCAGACGACCTTTGTTGTGGAATTTAGGTGGCAGACCATATTTTCTGAGCTTTCTATGTTTCTACCAATACGTACAATAAGTTTCGCTTATGCGGTTTTAAGTTTTTTTCTTTCATTTTTTGCTGTAATTGTAACCCTCCTGTAACCCCCTGTCGTGTTGGTGCGCCGGCAGACGTTCATAATACTATCATATACTACACGCATAACGCATACAAAAAGAATGAAGCTTGCGGAAATGGTACAATGAAATATGTCGTTAACTCCCGGACTATTATGACCGTTATGTTCATGTTCACATGAAATTACCTGTACCTGTAAGTATTGGATAAAAAAAACGTCAATGTTGTTGCATATTTTATTAAAAAAAAACATAATTTTTATCCTCCTACATATTACCTATTGGTACAAACTAAAATTTAAATTGCTTCTTCCCTTAAACAAAATGAGTAAGTAGGTAATTCGGTATATTTTATAAAATTTTGTAAACAAAAATCTTATCCATATCTTCTGTATCATCATTTTCTTCTTTTTTTTTACAAATTAAATACATTTTTCTGTTCTACCTTATAAAAGCGTTTTCTTCTTATTTGATCCATTAAGTCTTGTGATACCATGTTTAAGTACCCCATCACGGAACAACAAATCTCTTTGGGAATAATTGAACGAATTGTCAGAATAGTGCACTACTTTATAGAATAAGTCTGGAAAAAAACTTGAATTCAATTAGACGATTGCAAGACTTTGTAATATGTAATGGGTAGATTTTACTTGAGTTTTTATTATTAGATGTAGTACTGATTGAAGCATAATTTGAATAAAGCAATTTAAAAACTACTCACCTAAAATATTGCCATATTTATTGAAAGGTCCTTTGACTGCACTTGTCCTACTTAAACCTGTCCACGAGTAATTTGTTAACAAGGACCTAAAAGATAATTGGAATATTTTGTTAATAATATATATGCCCCCTGTAAACATTAAGTAAATTTGACTATATTGAAGTACTAATAATTCCCTTCTCAAATGGCCGGATTCGAAACAGTTTTTTACAACTAAGTGTCCACAAAAAGCAAAATAATTAATTAAAAAACAAACATATATTAAAATTAACAATAGATATATTTTTATGTATGTACATACACAAAAGCCTTACTTGGTGAATAGGAATCCACAGAGTTTGTAGCATGCTGATTTCCAAAACAACCCTGTTTCATTTACTCGTCGAAAGTGGCCAAATATTTTGGCTTTGAATTCGGCTATATTCAGTTTCTGTTCGAGTTCCTGCACCTTATGGATATCATTTAATGGAAATAATATATTTGTATCATGATCTTTTTCAGGTGGCAATCCACATACTCCCAGCCTTTCATCAATATGGTCAAGCTTAATAGCAATTACGGAAAATTTAAGGTCAATCAATTGTTTCAACTAAAAAAAAAAACTATATGTAGAAAGTAATTTGTTTTTTTTTTATTATAGTTTACTACTTACGTTTATTCAAAAACACATAGAATTTTTCAAATTCCGTTGATAGTTGACTATGTGGTATCAACACTTCAAAAACACTGACTAAAACCTGGTCTGAAGCCACTATAGTCTTTTCATTTTGTATTTCTACTACACTACTAGAGGTCTTCATCACTCTCCATCTCGGGCTGTACACGGGCTCATAATTACTATCATTTTATGTAGGCTTATTTGTAGTTCTTTTTCTTTTGGTTTGATGTCGAATTACTTCATCGCGTTCTTCCTCAGTAAAAGAGTTTTCGCAGATACCGTCGGCTGCTGATAAGGCATGATTGAACAGCATTATATTACTTTGTTTAACCTCACAGGTATATTTAATCCAGGCCTTTTTTGAGGCAGGCCAGTGCAATATCTTTTTGTCTTCCCAACGACAGGGCATGGGCTCTACTTCCTTCAGTTCTTTGATATAAACGACTTTGAAAAAGTCCGACATATTTCAAAATTACCACACACTGGTTTTGGCAACTTTAAATTTTAGTAGCTTTTATCTTCTCAATTTATTATTATTTTATTATTATTGGCTCCCGCTCGATTATTAGTTAGGTTTCCTACCGCGCTGTTGCCACATGGCACGGCGTTTTGTTTCGACAGTTAGCAGGTTGTCAGGTTTAATAGAAATTTAGTAATAATTTTTGGTGTTTCCAGATTAAATTAACTACAGAATCTAATAATTTATCATAAATCATGTAAAATTTTGTCAAAATTATTTATTTTTGTGTAAATCGGACTTCTCAAAGATGTTTTTACGCCTAGAGGAGCTGAATAATTTAGTTTCACGTATTTTATTGTTGACAAGGCCAGGCGCCTTTATTATTTTATGTCCCCCAATATTCTTATAAGTACCTATACATTTTGTTTTTAATTTGATGAGTTGGGAAATAAAATAATACCAATAATAAACCAAAAGTGCGAATTTGGTGCAATATATTTGGTTCTGTATTTGTTTTTAGGTTAGTTATGGTTTACAACGTTAAATAAACGTTCAAATATGGTTATGCATACTGACGTATATAAGTTAAAAATTGGTAAAGCCTCGCGATCTGCAACGTCGTTACAACCATGAAATGATTCTCGGTTCTATCGTCTATTTGACGTCGCGCCTTAACTTCAAGTCATCACTGACGACGTTGTTAGGACGTGAAAGCGCAGCTTGGGTATGGGCTTCCGAAGATTCACAAAACAGGTAACCCACTCAGACCTATTGCAAGTGCAATAGATTCGCTCACATACAGCAACCGAATACCTCACCACTCTCCTTCAGCCACGTATTGGCCAATCCAGCTCTTATGCTCAAGACTCCGCTCATTTTATCAAAAAAATTGGTGACATCACTCTACTACCAAACGACATTAGTTTTGATGTCTGGTTGTTTACCAAGGTACCAGTGAATCAGGCCTTAGAGTATCTGAAACAACTTATTTCACCACTATCTAACGACCGCGTACTTCCAATGGCAAAACGAATTCTATGAGCAGGCAGATAGAGTCGCAATGGGCAGTCCACTTAGCCCGGTTATCGCAAACTCCTACATGGAGCACTTCGAACAAATGGCACTGCGAACGGCCACAAAAAAAACCTACTTGTTGGTTTCGCTATGTAGATGACACTTTTGTTGTTTGGAACCATGGACAGGCAAAGCTTGAAAACTTCCTTGATCATCCAAACTCAATAGAACCCAGGATACAGTTTACGATGGGAGTTGAGAAGGACAACAAAATTGCATTCCTCGACGTCCTCTTAGAAGGATTACCCTCAGGTAAATTGGGACACAGAGTATATAGGAAGCCGACGCATACGGACAGATACCTCAACAAGGAATGGAATTACCATCCTAGGCAAAAGAGAGGGGTCATTAAAACTGTGACAGGGCAATCCGAATTTGTGAACTCAGATACCTTCAGGATGAGATACAACACCTAAAATCAGCACTTGAAGGAAATTGGTACCCCAAGCAGGAGATAAATAGAGCTATAAGACCGAAGCATCAGCGCACAATTAATATGGAATTAGCCTGGTGGCAGGGAGTGCCTTTCTTCCCTACATCAAAAATTTCACAGATCGCATAGGACGAACGCTAGAAAAACACAACATTAACCTTCCAGCGGGCGCGCTGTGTCATTTCATTTGAGCGGGCCCTTGTCGTAAATTTCACGTCATCATTTTTACTCCATGTAAATGGTGTTTTCTTTCCATAAATACTGGGGAATTGATGAAATAATATTAAAAACGAAAATAACAGTACTTTTGAGAACATATCTTTGACTTTCTTGAATAAAACAACTCCCACATGGAATGAAAGTATCACCATCTTGCTCTGGCTCATCGCTCATCATAAATAGCTTCAGCAATTTCTTCCTTCATTTAAACAACTTCAACAGAAAAGAAGAGGGCATGAACCTTTACAAAAGCTGATTGCCAGTTTTCCGAAAAGCAAATACCCTTTCTTTCCGAGAACGAGTTCACTACTACACCGCCTCTGAAGATGTCTACCGCAGCAGTAGACGAAACGTTAGGTAAAAATATCACTCGGCCACGGCATTATAACCCGGAGAAAGCTTAACTAGATTTTATTACCTACCACAAGATATCTCGCACACCTTGTGGAATATTCAGATGATTTTTTTTTATAGCATTGGTCTCATCTTGTTCTAACTTTTAAAAAAAATAATGAAGATAGTAGCGTCTCACACCGGCGGCGCCTTTATTCCGCTAGTTGTATTTTTGGTTTTACTTGTAATCATTTTTGATCGTTATCTCTTGAGGTTTACTATTATATTAGCGCCCCATTCTATGATGGTACATATTATACAGCACCACTTACTTCAGGAATGTTAGATTGTTACGTTAAAATTTTGCCTTAACGTAATTGAGGATTTCGAATAAATTCAGTAATTAATTCAGTTATTTGTGAGGGTATTTATAAAGCTGTATGCCTGAGGATTAATGTTTTTCAGTGATTGATAGGTTGCTCATTGAATTTTGCTAGATTTTTACCTTCTGTTTGGATGCAAAACAATATCTAGTTGTTGATTAAAGGTATATTTTCCAAGGTAATAATGAGTGAATTATTTGTATTTAGAGGACAGGATAGTTTCAGGATAAATAAAGCCCTACTGTTAGGATAGGAATCCACTTTATTTATCTTTCGAAAGTTTTCTACAGGGCCCTAAATGTCGGTGAAAAGGTTTGTTTACTTTCAAATAAATATCAATTGTCAACACTTACGAATCTCGTATTTTCCTTTATTAAAATTTCTGCAACAACACAAATCACTTTAGCACACTCTAAATTGATTTTTCACCCTTATTTCCTTTATTTTTCGCATTTTCGAATGTTTATTTTTCTCAAAAATATAGTGGGGTTATAAGACACTTGTGGATTCGTTTCGGGCAGCACTGTTGCCGACGTACTTGAACGCTGTGGGTAATAGGGTCACTGTAATTATAATCCCTAAACAGTCACTGGTCGTTTTGATAGATTTTAGACCGAAGACTAGGTAGATGCTGATTAATAACTTGTATACGTAATTAATTAGTGTTAATTGGTGTTAGGGGAGAGAATTTGATAACAACTTTGAGTTTTGTTGGTCATCATTGTGGTTTGGAGTGTTCCGTTTCAAGGTGATTGTGTTCCGATTCAAACTGGGTGTTCCGTCTTCCTGGTCGAGATCGGAAATCTGGCACCAGAGGACATCTTGAAAAAAAAACTGGAATTCTAGAAAAAAAATTATATTGAAGCCTACCTAATAAATCGCTGAAAAGGGATCGTTCTCTTTTAAATTCGCACGTTGAGCAAACAACAAGTTTCTTGGCAGATTTTACCAGCGGTCCTCTTGGCAACGTTCCTTGGAACATCCACCTTTTTGTGGGATTTTGAAGACGCTGGGATTTCAAGTGGTTGCTGGCTTAATTGGTTTTGGGGTGAAAGCTTTGGATTTGGTCGTACCCGTATTTGTAAGCCAACCACATAGAATTTTCTGGAAACGAAGTCTACGCCATTTTGTTGGTTTGTCGTGTGAAGAGCAGAGCCATGTTTTGTTCAACTAGCCCAAATTGTAACCAGGTAATTTTAAACGTTTTTTCTCATTTTTCGTTATCAATATTTAGATTAGCTTATTAGTATTTTTTGTAAATATTTGGGATTCTATAAAAAAAGGGCAATTTGACCTCCACGAGGCCATGTTCAGACTCATTAATCGTTTAAGGGGCATTAACGGGCTTATTAATTAAGGGGTTTTTTGTTTAAGATAACCTACAGGTTTCAGGGGATTTTGCTATTTAATTCCAATCATTTATATACCATTTGAGGGTTGGGATTTTTAATTTTTTTTTAAGTATGAAGGAGTTCTAAGACTTTTGTACTCTTTCAGGGTTTTTAGGTTTTTTTGTTAGGCTTTTAGTCTGGATTTTACCTTCACCATTGGGTTTTCCTCTTTGACGGTTTACTAGTCTCGAAGTTGAGGTGTCAAGAGTACCCACAACACTGAATTCAAACCGTAATGCACATTCTTAAGAAGGGAAGTCAATGGAAGTTATTGGGTCTGTTATAAGGGCTGTGAGGCCGTCAGGAAGCAGTTACGTAAATGGGTGCTTAAACTGCAGGGAGGACAACAAGGGGGTGATGTACCCGTTGATTTATTAACATTTCTTAAATTATTTTATTTTTATTATTGATGGTATTTCTGATACTTAATTGGTATATTTCCAAGGTTGTTTTTCTGCCTTAATTATTACAATGGGTGTACAGTACCAATGAATTTTTAATGTACTCTATTTAAGGTGACATTTTTGTACAAACCCGCCCCGGTATACCATGGTATAAGCGTGCACAGGTTTTAATTATTATTATTAACATCTTTAATAACTACACACATCAAAATAGTCTAGGGAACAAGCTGCAACTGAATACATTTATAAATTGAACAAAATATACTTTTAAAAGATTTTTAAATTTTGTTAAAGCCTGCTGGAAAAGCAGGTATGATAAATTTTACAAGATTTGTTCAACAAATACCCATATGGTATCTTTTTAAAAAAAATTATTCTGTCTAAAAATTAAAAGACGAATATTTCTTTTTTCTTTTTTGATGAGTGTATTTGTTCTCTTTTACTCTCATTGAACTAAGGTAGTCAAACATTTATTTTATTGGTAAATCTTAAATTTATGGCAGTGTCTTTTATAAGGCCAAATTTGTCCTTGCTACATTTTGGTAATTTTGACATTTACTATTAATAATAATATATATTGTGGTATTTTACATATTGCCTCCTATTGGCCTTTTGAAATTCCTTTGCAATTTTAAACACACCCCCCATTTTATTAAATAGATTTATAATCACTGTTTTTAGATTTGACTCTTATTTTATCCCTACTGACCTCAACCAAACTAAGGTAAAGTTGTTTTAAAGGATAGGTACATTGGGTAGGTACATT